AAAAAAAATTCTCTCCCGCTGGGAGATGAGGGGCGGCCCTCAGGGATGCGGCGTGTGGGGAAAAGAGGGGGGGAGCGGCGCGGGAAAGGGAATCCCCACTAAAAGCCTCGAAATGAGCCTCAAATTAACAAAAAAACCTCCTCAAATTGAAAAAGATGAATTCGAATTCAAAGAAAAGCAAGTGTTTTTTTAAAAAGTACTGTAATTTAAAAATTCTCCCCTCACGTTTTAAAAAAACCCTTTAAATACCCGCGTGTGGGGGCTGAAAGGAATCCCCATACAAAGGCCTCAAAATGAGCCTCAAATTAACAAAAAACCTCCTCAAATTGAAAAAGATAAATTCAAATTCAAAGAAAAACAAGTGTTTTTTTAAAAAGTACTCTAATTTAAAAATTGTCCCCTCACGTTTTAAAAGAACCCTTTAAATAACCGCATGTGGGGGAGGAAAGGGAATCCCCATAAAAAAATCCTCGAAATGAGCCTCAAATTAACAAAAAACCGGCTCAAATTGAAAAGGACGAATTCAAAGTCAAAGAAAGGCAACTAAAAAAAACCACTTTAATTAAAAAATTGTCCCCTCACGTTTTAAAAAAAACCCTTTAAACACCGGCATGTGGGGGGTGAAAGGAATCCCCGTACAAAGACCTCAAAATGAGCCTCAAATTAACAAAAAACCTCCTCAAATTGAAAAGGACGAATTCAAAGTCAAAGAAAGACAACTATTAAAAAAAATGACTTCAATTTAAAAATTGTCCCCTCACGTTTTAAAAAAAGCCTTTAAATAACCGCATGTGGGGGAGGAAAGGGAATCCCCACAAAAAAGCCTCGAAATGGGCCTCAAATTAACAAAAAAGCGGCTTAAATTGAAAAAGATGAATTCAAATTAAAAGAAAAGCAAGTGTTTTTTTAAAAAGTACTGTAATTTAAAAATTCTCCCCTCACGTTTTAAAAAAACCATTTAAATAACCGCATGTGGGGGAGGAAAGGAATCTCCATACAAAGGCCTCAAAATGAGCCTCAAATTAACAAAAAACCGGCTTAAATTGAAAAGGATAGATTCAAATTAAAAGAAAAGTACCTCTTTTTTTTTTTAATTTAATTTTTAAAATTTCCCCTCACATTTTAAAAAAAAAAAACGCTTTAAATTTTAAAATACCCGCAAAAAAACCCAAAAAACCTTCAAATCAACAAAAACTCAAAGGGAAATGCTTCAAGCAGGAGAAATCTGTGGATTAGGAAAAGCTGGAAAAGCTGGAAAAATTCCCCCAGCGGGAGATGGTGGGGAGGGGGGGAAGGAATCCCCACACAAAGGCCTCAAAATGGGCCTCAAATTAACAAAAAAGCGTCTCAAATTGAAAAAGATGAGTTCAAATTAAAATAAAAGCAGCTGTTTAAAGAAAAAAACCCTGTAATTTAAAAATTGTCCCCTCACGTTTTAAAAAAAAACCCTTTAAATACCCGCGTGTGGGGGGTGAAAGGAATCCCCACACAAAGGCCTCAAAATGAGCCTCAAATTCACAAAAAACCTCCTCAAATTGAAAAATATTAATTCCAATTCAAAGAAAAGCAAATATTTTTTTTTAATACCGTAATTTAAAAATTCTCCCCTCACGTTTTAAAAAAAAAAATTAAATACCCGCTTGTGGGGGAGGGGAGGGAATCCCCACACAAAGGCCTCAAAATGAGCCTCAAATTATCAAAAAACCTGCTCAAATTGAAAAAGATGAATTCAAATTAAAATAAAAGCAGCTATTTAAAAAAATACCTCTGTCATTTAAAAATTCTCCCCTCAAGGTTTTAAAAAAAAACCTTTAAATATCCTCGTGTGGGGGAGGAAAGGGAATCCCCACACAAAGGCCTCAAAATGAGCCTCAATTTAACAAAAAAACCTTCTTAAATTGAAAAAAATGAATTCAAATTAGAAGTACCTCTTAAAAATAAAAAATTAAAAAATTTCCCCTCACATTTAAAAAGAAACCCTTTCAAATAAAAAATACCCACAAAAAAAAAAAAAAAATCCTCAAATCAACAAAAACCCAAGGGGAAATGCTCTAAGCTGCAGAGATTTGTGGATTAGGAAAAGATGGAAAAGCTGGAAAAATTCTCCCAGCAGGAGGTGAGGGGGAAAAGGAATCCTCACACAAAGGCCTCAAAATGGGCCTCAAATTAACAAAAAAACCTCCTCAAACTAACAAAAAAAACCCTGCTCAAATTAAGAAAAAAACCCTCCTTCAATTAAAAAAAATCCCCCCTCAAATTAACAAAAAGCCCTTGAATTAAAAATCCCCCCTCATGTTTAAAAAAACTCCTTTAAATTAACAAAAAAACCACCTCAAATCAACAAAAAAAAACCCTTACATTGAAAAAAATTCCCCCTCAAATTAAGTTCTGCCCTCAAATTAAAAAAAAAAAAACTTAAATTAAAAAGACTCAAAAATACTTCTCAAAATAAAAAATTCTGTGCTCAAATTTGCAAAAATGCCCCTCAAATTAACAAAACCCCCTCAAATTAAAATTTTCTCCTCTCAAAGTTAAAAACAACCCCTCAAATTTTTTAAAAAACCTGTCAATTTTAAAAAGCCCATCAAATTAAAAAAAACCTCTCCAATTAATAAAATCTCCCCTCAAATTTGTAAAAAACTCCTTAAATTAAAAAAAAACACCACTGAAGTTCAAAAAAGGCCTTAAATGTTAAAAATCCTTGTTCAAATTAAACAACCCTGACCTTAAGTTAAATAAACCCTCAAAATTAACAAAACTCCCCCTCAAATGAAAAAAATACCTTTAATTTAAAAATTCTCCCTTCAAAAGAACAAAAGATCTCCTTAAATTAAAAAAATCCATAAATAAACAAAAAGGCCTCAAGTTAAAAAAACCCCTGAAGTTAAAAAACTCCCTTAAATTAACAAAAAAGACACAAATTAATAAAAAAACCTCAAACTAATAAAACTCCCTCATATTAAAAAACCCTCAAAGTAGAAAAACCCCTTAAATTAAAAACCCTCTCAAATAAAAAAAACCCTTAAATTATAAAAAACAAGTTTAAATTTGAAAACCTTTTGAAATTAATTTGAAATTAAAAAAATCTCCCCTCAAATTAAAAAAAAAAAGAATGATATTAAAAGAAAACCCTAAAATTAAAAAATTCCCTCTTTAAATATTGGATATTCATGGATTTTTTTGGGGCATTCCCCCCACCTCTCTCCCCATTATTTATGACCCTTTTGGGGTTTATTTTGATAATTTTGGGGGTTTTTTTTACCCCCTAATAAAACTCCCACTGGAATTTCACATTTATTTCCCCCCAGCTCCTGCTCCCTGTCCCATTCTTGGGAAAAACAAACCCAAAATTTGGGGCTGAGCCACCCTGGGACCCCCAATTTGGGGTCTCCTCGTCCTCCTGCT